TTCTGCGAGTCAAAGAAAGTGGATTTCACTGACAAGTATAATGACAACCAAAAAGCTTTCTCCGAACCTCCGCTTCCTGAGGAAGACCTGAGACGGGATAAAATTCAGCAGTTGGGAACCAGAGGTGGTAAAGAGGGTCTTGTATAAACAGCTGCTTCCACATAAGTTGTGCAAGATAGCTGAGATAGCTGTCTAAAAGGGCCTGCAAAAAGCCACAGCGTTCTTTATGCCTCTGTTTAAATTTTTACCGAGCAACTCAGTGGAGTTTGTGCAAGCACTACTGGGAGGACCAATGAAATGCAATTTATTATTTACCGTCAGATGCTAATACGCTTCAGGCAAGTCTTGAATGCCGTTATAACCTCCCCACATATCCCAAATAATAGTAGTACACGGGAGGAAATACTACCGGACAAGCGGCACAAGGGTAGCGGCATTTCTGTACTCAGCTGCAACAATAAAGCACTTATTGCTCTCCCTCTCGATACTTTCAAAGCACCACCGGTGCAGAACCAACCCTCCCTTTATTATTTCTTCTGCTAATCAAAACCGTCTCATCAATTTTGACAGTTTAACCCACTCCGCCTAACTTGATAGAATGCGCAGTAAAGTAGGAGACTCACATCCCGGAAGGCTTAAAAATAAGAAACGATAGTAGCGGAGCTCATAGTACTGGTAATTTTGAGACACATGTTCAGTGCATTTTGGTCGTACACTGGTATACGAACCTGCGTTCGACGGTAAGATAAATGGTGAACCAACCGTGGTTTCCAAATTTTTTTATTTCAAAAACTTTCCTACTTGAAACCCCACTGTCTTCAAGTTCTCGAGGTTCTTTTTGTTTAGCACGCTTGTTTTTGCGGCGGAAGAAAAGAAAAGCTTTGAAGAAGAAATTCAAATTCTTTGTCAGAAAGCGTTAGCTTCCGAAGAAGATCCTGATGACCTAAGTCACGCAAGCAATCCATCTAGAGAACGCACACCGATCACCATGGAAGACAAATGATTGCCTACAAGAATAGCAGAAAGTAACTTTCAGCCTCAGGGGTATGCAAACACAAATGGAAGATCCGAAACTTCACCAGCGAAGAACCTGGATCCTCGCTACATGCTAGCTCTCACAACTACCTGCGCCAATTGACAGCCTCGCAAGCCCCTACTCTAAGGCATATTCTGAATAGTTTTTGTACGAATAGGTAAAAAAAAGAAAGGAGAAGAAAGCTTCTTGAACTTCATTCACTTCACCGACCTCCCCCTCTTCTTCACATAATTCTTATTCCTGTTCTAAAGAGAGACACTTACTGTTTCCTTAGCGTTCCCCTAGCTTTCACCGGTCATCTCATAATCGACCGGATTTTATTTCATCCCGAACCCAGATAAAACTTTTGATCGTAGAACTCCTGTAGTGTTTCAAATATATTCGTGAGCAATCAACTCTAGACGTTGTCTGTGCATCAGAAAAGTGAAGAGGTATTCCTCACCGTCATCAGCGAGTCAAACATTCTGTATATGGTATCTATATACTGGACAAATAAAGCTGGCTTCTGACTAACATCATACTCTCCAGCCAATCAGCATGGTGGGCGCACCAGTCTAAATGAGAACCAAAAAAACTTAGGGAATCTAAAGTCTTGGGATTCAAATTTGACTTAAGAGTAATCTGATCAGAGCAGAAATTTAAACACGACACAGACGACAGGATTTCATTCTCTCCCAAATCCAGATATTTTTTGTTTCTTTTCATGTTTCTTTTCAAGTCAATTTTTCTTCTCATTTATAATTTTTTCGTTTTAATTTTTGTCTGCGATAAACAAATTTTAAGGAAAATTGTTTCTTGAGTAAATATGCAAAGATTTCAAAATTATCTATTGCTATATAGCAGCTTACCATCAGTTGCTTATCAGTTTTCTAACTTTTGTTGCTGTTTTCTAACTTTTTTAACCAACAAAGATGCGGAATATTCTTAGATCCAGGAACAACTGTGAACTTTTTTTTATTTAGTTTAACAGTTCATGACTTTATGTCTGTTTGAAATTATTTATAAAAATGAGAAACCGCAGTAATTAGCAGACAGAAAACTGCTAACGTGACATTAGTTTTGGTGTTCCACCAATTTGGGAATTCATAGATCTACATGTCAAAAAATTATCACAAGTAATTTTCTCATGCTTTGGATAACGCAAAAATTTTCTCACTGATGAGTAATTGAAAACTCCTAAAATGTGGTCATCAGTAGCCGAAATTCCAGGAGTGTAAGTTGGACACAGCCAAACTTCACAGTCAAGCTCTTCAATTCTCCTTCGTGATATCTGAATTAGGCTGTTCGCCGTCATCATGCAATATTATTACTAATCGTTCTTCTACAGGCATCGGATGCAGTTTCTTCAAATTTGTATTTCGACTCTCCAATTCTCAACAGCATTTTTTTACAGCAGTACTTTTTTCACCGGCATTCGCAAAGTCTGCGTGAATTACTTCAAGAATGTTTTGTGAAACTATAATCATTATTTTAGGTTGCTTTTGTATAACTTCAGCTTCTGATTAAGAGATGGTCGACATCTGCTTACTGTCTGTCGCTTTTTCAGTTATCTTGAAGAACCTATTTTTTACCAAGGGTTGTAGTCTGATCTCAAAATGGATCAGTCTTGAACTGCTGAGAAAACGCTCTAGAGTATCGAAAATGCGGCGTTTATTAGAGTTCAGTAAGCTTACGTCTTTTGAAATATTCATTTTCTAGATGTTTCTTCTAAACTTTGAAAAAAGAATTTTAAAACAAAAAAAAACCCTAAAACAGAGTACAGTGAAAAGGAGCAAACAGTAGCAACAAAGTAGGGCTTTTATAAGCATTTCATAGTCTGTTATTTTCTGCAAAACCTGCTCAAATTAGAGAAGTTCAAAAATTAAAAAGTGTTAATCTGTTAAATCTTAAAGATTAGCCTTAATTTAAATTTGATTTTGTTTGAGAGAATTTCTTTTATTTGTTACCTTTTTTCGGCATGTAGCGCTTTAGTGGTTCACAGACCTGCGAACATCTTTTATATGCTGTAAAGCTGTTCGACAGTGGCATCTAATCAGTCTTTATATCCGTTTGAAAAAATATCGACAAGCAAAATTATTGGTGCTTTCAATAAGCAAAAATGAAAGTTTTTGACGATGACTTAGCTGATCGATGAGGTAGCGGAATATTTTGCCTTGGTTACTGAGGTTTAATTTGAACATTGATATTAATATTTTTTTAAAGAACTTATATGACTGCAAATTGAACACTCCATTATACTGGTAATTAAGACTAATTAATTGACGCTTTTTTTCTTGGTAAATTTTGAAATTTTTTTGACAAGTGACAATGAAATTTTGATTGTCACTAAATTCAGTTTAAGAATATTTTACTTTTAGATACTTGTTTTTTGTATTTTTTTTTTTTTTTTTTTTTTTTTTTTTTT